TAACGATTTAACATTTCCCCTCACTTTCCCATAAGCTTCCAATTTAAGATATTCACACTTAAACACAAAATTGGGTTCTGGAGTAAAGAAAGCCTGGGATTCCAAGAAGAAGGAGAAAATTGCAGCTGGGGTAGGAGGGTAAATGTAAGACATACTATGTAATATATGCCATATGTGGGCTTTGGGGGCAGGGAACATAGTTTGGGTATTAACTAAATGTATCACATCCAACCAAAAGGCCGGAAAAATCATTTAAAATGAAGAGCTGGGGGTGCAGCTCAGTGGTAGAGGGCTTGCTTAGCATGCAAGAGGCCCTGGGTTCCATCCCCTATACCACAAAAAGAAAAAACCAAAAAACGTTTGATTTTGTTAAATGCCTGAAGCCAAGGTTTGGAGATGAGAGTTTTGAAAAACGCAGGATTATTCCACTGAGCTGGACAGCCAGCTTTCCTACCGTTAGGATACAATAGAAGCAGAGAGGCACACCCGGCTGCATTCTAAGGAATCTGGGGCTGTTTTCAGAAAGCCCCACTTGGCAGCTCCTGAAGAAAGCTTTGGACCCTTCTCAATGCTCTTTAACATGAGGCGAGCAGCTCATGGATCAGGATGGTTTCCAGTCCAGTTCTCCCCAGAGTTGGGGCATGTAGAGCCGTCAGCCCTCCAAGCCTTTCTTTAGTCCACTAAGTATAGGACTATCTGGCTCTGTAGCATCCTCCTGAATAACTTAGTATTTTTTGGAAAAGAAAATGCCTAAATAAGAGGGCATTTGGCTGTACTACGCCTCTAAAGCATTCAGAGATTTTTTTCATTCTTATCCTACTAAGAAAGATGGAACCAAAAGAGAGAGAAGGCTGTACTGTGCACTTATGTTCCCACCTACAAGTGGCCACGCCATACCCACCTAGGGAATCTTCTAGGTTGGAAATGTGTGTTTAGTTTATAAACTAGTGAGGCTGAAAAAAAATGGCAAACTGACAATTAGAGTGATGAGTCCAAAGTGGGGACTTTATATGGGAGGGGGCATTTAATCTTGACTTGAAAGGGCAAGGAAGGTATCCAAGAAAAAAGAAAAGGTAAACCCTGAGGTAAGCTAACACTGCAGGCTAAGTAGCTGCTAAGCAGACAAAGGGAGGCATTCTGGACCAAAGTAGCTACCAGGTAAAAGAGCCCAGAGGAAGAGATGATAGGAAGTTCAGAAAATCTGAAGTGGTCGATTCTGGTTGGTGGCCACAGTGCTATTGTGGTGGCAAGGGGTGACTTGTGCTCTCTGAATGAAGAATTTCAACAGTGTCCCCCAAGAAAACACAACAGTAAAAAGAATATGCTTGCCATGCCAGAGTGGCATCATAAATTCTCTGGCCCCACCCCAACAACAACATATTAATTAAAAAGTCATGTACAATGTAACTAACAGAGGTACAGAGAAGGGAACAATGGACTGAAAGTTACCAGTAAGTCACTGTGGGCCTCCTAGTGAGGTCAGCTGCTCCATTTATAAAAAATAAAATAAAATAAAATGCATTGTTGACCCTGTCCTAGATGATCTTTAAGGTCTTTTCTGGATCCTGTGTTTGTGAGGACTCCACCATACATATGCAACTCGAAGATGAAAGACATGTCATAGACTACCACAAAGGCCCAGGCTGCTCAGCAACCAACTTTTCCCCTAACCCCTAGTGTATTTTCACTTCATAAAAGGCAAAATGATCTAACTAATGCTTCCTAACTATCATTTGACTCATAATTTTATTAGAAGGCAGTAATCTAATGGATAAAATACTCAGCTAGAGGTGAAGGAAATCAGAGCCTTCTCTCAGGCTTCTAGAAAAGGAAAAACATGAGGAAATTTTACCTATTAACTAGTTTTTGCCTCAGCCTTGTCTGCACCCCTACCTAGAGAGAAAATGTATGAAACAGGCAAAATGATGAGAAAGATACTCTCTACAAATAGGGAGATTCTCTTTAGGCCTACACAAAAATTCCACCAACAACAATCAATTTAAAATTAGTTCCTTGAGTCAATCTCAAATTTCACAATGAGGATCAGAGCTGGTTTTCAGACTTCACCACACAACATAATTATGGAGACCTCCTACTGAAAGCAGGTAGCTTTGTAGACCTTTCAAGAGATTTTAATTCAGCTGGAGAGTGGTTCTGAAGCTGCCAGTTTCACAAGTTCCTTGGGAGAGTCTCGGGGAGGTGTTCATGGGATAAAAAGCTGAATCTAATCGTTGGGGATGAGGGTAAAGGCCCACAGGGGGCAATAATCTAGGAATTACAGCATAGGCTTCAGGTGCCTTTCCTGGGGAGTAACAGAAAGGGAAAAGGGCATGACTATACCTGGGTCTGGATGGGTGCCTACTCATCTCATAAATATGTATCATATGCCCATATGTATCAGACATTGTACTAGGCACTGGAGATTACAAGGTAAACAAGACAAATGAAGTCCCTGCCCTCATATTGACATGCCCTCTTACAGCTCTTCCTACCTACCTGTTAAAATTATTACAGTTGCTCAAACCTGTTTCCTGCAAAGGAAGCAGGAAGAATGAACAAAAGGCAAGTATTCTGACAGAGACTGCAGCTGGAACTGAAGGCTTTCTCAGCCTTTAAGAAGTGCAGCAGAATACACTGGAGGTGCTTCCTACCTTGTATGGTTTGTGGCTTGGGAGGGTGGGGCAAACAAAGGCTTTCTAGTGAGAGCCCTGTCAAGAGCTCCATCTCCCTAACCTGGAATAACCAAAAGCCATGTCCCCAGTGATGAACATCCTATGAGGATATACTGTGTTGCCCTGCTCCAGTGTCTTGCTTTTGGATAAGCAAGTCCCCTGTCAAACCAGCAGTTTGGGTGGTATCACCCTCTGCCTTGCTGCATCAGGCATTGGAGAAACTATTTTTGGCCTAGCCTCCTCTACCCACTTTGTTTTTTCCTCCTGAAACATTATATTAATCTTCTGTTGAACCCCCCCTGAAAACTCCCTTCTTACCCTTTTTTTGGGGGGCCCAGTTTAAATGCCATGTCCTCCGCAAGCTGTGACCCTCTCAGCAAGAAGAGCCTCTGTTCTTTGAATTCTGCCCAGAACCTTGGATGCTTTTCCCAGTCAGACGTGCTTTCTTGGCTACATAATTTATCTTCCAAGGCAGGATGTACTCTTTGAGCATAAGGACTGTCTTATGGTTTTTTTATGTCCTTTCTCAGGAGCTAACAGTGCCTCGGTATTTGTGGAGTGCAATACCAACTTTTTATCTATCAGGGAATTTACTTTGTTATTGTACTATTTTAATGCATTGGTCAATTATGAATTTACTACAAAGGTCATGCTAATGAAGCTGAAACAACTCTGATGTGAACGTAAAGGCAAGGTTTTACTAGTCAATGTGTAATATTTTATATACTGGCAGCAATGGGAGACTCTGGGGGGGACCTGGGTTTTTACTATTCCTTCCATAACTTCACTTTCAGCTCCTCCACCCCCACTCCACCCACTCTACCTCCTTTATCACCTCCACTGTACCCCACCCTTATTCAAAACCTCTTTAGCCTTTTAGATGCCCTGGGACCTTCACTTACAAATTCTTCCCACACTTAAGCCCCTCCCCATATTCTTTCAGGCTGGAGGAGGTAGATCTTTCAAGGTTGCAAAGTGCAACTTCCGGGCAACTTTAGGAACACTAAGGATGCTCTTGTATATCCAAAGTGGTGATCCTGAGTCATGAGCTCCAGGTACTTACAAGAAAGTCTGTGATATTTAGGCAAGGATCAACTATGTGACAGGAATTTCCAGCTCAAACACAGAGGTTCTGCTTGGTGATTTCTAGATTGATTTGGTAAAATATGGACTTTAATGTTTTACTGGTTTTTATTTATAGAGAAGGGAGAACATTTAATGATTACCTGTAGGTGCCAAGCATTGCACTGGATACTTGAAATATGGATTTCATCTGGTATTCACAAGGATCTTAGCAATACATAGTTCCATTCTACAGATGAAAACTGAGGCCAATGGACATTAAGTGATTTGCCCAAAATCATAGTTATTTTATGGAGCTATGATTCCACTATTGGTTCATTTAATTACAAAGCTCATAGTTATACTATGTTTTCCCCTTACATAGAAGGCAGAAATTCACTTTGACTAACTGGCCTTCCACTTCAAAACAGAAATCACCAAAAAAGACGTAACCTCAGAGAAAGGAACTTTTTAAGTTCCTAAGAACAAGAAGCATGTTCTTGTCCCAGAGGGCCACCAGGGACACCATCTTATTTTTACCATGATCTCAATTGCTGGTTTAATATTCCTAAAAACAGCACTGAACTGATCCAACATCAAGTATCATCAGCCCAACTATTATGGCACCTCTTTACACCACCATAATCACCAAAACCATCAACCATTTTTCAAAACAAATCACAGCCTAAAATGCATTAACTTCCACAGCTTCTTTCTAGAAATTAGTTGCATGTACAGAGGGGTAAAAACAGAAGACTCCAGATTTCACAGAGATGTCTAGTCTTACATTTTGGTACAATGTAATTGAATTGGCAAAGACTATTAAAGCCAACAACCAAAACAAAGGATAAAATTATCCTATGACCAAGTAAAAACCTGCTATGCCCTTCCCCATTAAGAATTTAAAATAAAGTCACATTTATTCATTCAACAAACATTTATTGAGCACCAGCAACCACGCGAGGTGCTAAGGAATATAACTATGAATAAGATAAAGCAGGCTCCCGCCCTGACTGGATACTTTTGCTTTAAATGATCTTGCTAAGTACATGATATCTGATGTCTCTAATGACATGATATTTTTTGGAAAGTCAGAGTCACATGAGGCCTCTTCTAGAATACTTTTAAAGTTTCTTTATGGTAAACTTGTTAGAAATCTTTAACTTAGAGAAGGAAGATGGATGGTGCCCAGTAGCCTTTCCACAAGCATGTTGAAGATCAAGTTAGCTGTCAAGCAATATGGCAGTTGGCTACCAAGGAGGCAGTTTAGACCACGCGGTTGCGCTTGTGCGATGGGGAGTGTGTGGTGCCATCGCCAAACTGGGCCGAGGTGCGCTTGCGGTTCCCTCCACTGTCCAGGCGGAGGGCCAGTTCCTCGGCGCTGAACGGGTTCACGTCGTCCTCGAGGAAGCTACTTTTTCGACGTCCACTGTTGGCAACACCGCTGTCTGGCGAAGGAGAGCTGGGCGCGCCAGATCGCACGCTGATGCTGGCCATGGCGCCATTGAGGCCGTGCAGGGCGATGGCCTCGTGGAAAGGCTGCAGGTCGACGTCCACCGATGAGCTGGACTCGGTGGCTGCAGCCTGACTGGCGGCCCCGGCGGGCGGCTTCGGGGCCATCCTAGGGGTGCGCGGCGGGGGAGCAGCAGGGGGCACTTTGCCACAGAGGAAGCTAATCAGGTCCTCCCGGCGGATGGTGCTCCGGCCCTTTTTCACCCACTCCAGCACATCTTTGATGCGACGCTGACAGCCAACCTGGACACCCAGGTCAAAACTTCGTTGGTGGGCATGCCCGCTCTCTTTGTAGAGGCTGGTCACGGCCATGGCCGCATTCTGGAAGGGGTCCCACAGAGACAGTCCCGCCTGCTGGCACCCGGAATCCTTGTACAGCTGGGCCACGGCGGTGGCCGAGATCTGGAAGAGGTGCCACAGCCTCTGCTGCTCGCTCTTGAGCCCCGCCGCGTCAGCGGCCGCCTCCTCCTGTAGCTCGGGGAGCAGCTGCTCCTGCTGCTCGGCCTCGGCCAGGCACTGGCGTTCCCACTTGGAGAACCAGGGCTCGGCGACCTCGGCCTCGCCCTCCTTCGGCTGCTCCTCCATCCTCCACCTCCAGGCCTCGCGCCTCCTCTGCCACCGCCGCCTCCTCTGCCTCCTCTCGTTCCGCCACCCTCACCTCACCTCCTGCTCGGGTTCCCCTCCTCCTTCCGCGGCGGGCGCCGCCGCCTCCGCGGGCGCCGCTGAGCGGGCGCGCGCGGGCGGCGGGGCCCTGAGGCCAACTGCTCGGGCGCGCGCAGCCCGCGCCCCGGTGAAGCCCCGCCAGCCCCGCGGCCCGGCCCCCGGCTATGCTGCGGCCGTGGAGATAACCCCGCAGCCGCCGGCGCCGCCGCGCAGCCCCCTTCCGGCCCCGCGGATCTGCCCCCTCACAGCGCCGCGGCCTCGTCGCCGCCGCCGCCGCCCCAGTCGCTGTCGCCGCCGCTGCGGACTGGCCGCTCGGCCCCAGCCCCCGCTCGCGCCGCGGCTGCCGCACTAACTCGCTGGAGGGCTGGCTGGAGCGCTGCCTCTCAACGCAGAGCTTGCCTGCCGCTTGGCCCCTTTTCACACATTTTTGGGACTTGTCGGTTTCATCCAATGAGCTGATCAAATTTTACATCCTATGTTGCCAGAGAGGATTATGGGGTAACTTCATGGTGTCGATCACATCCAGGGCGCCGATCCGGGGAGGCCCGGGGCAGAGTGGAGAATAGGCAGGCAATGCGCACCTTAACAATGTCTTCCATACCAGGAGGTGCCCGTAAAAAGTGGTTTCTGTGGACCGAAGCAGCATTTTGTAACGGGGTCGGGGGGATGGTCATATTAGAAAAGCTGCCGTGTTCCTCCGCCCTTCCCCACCACACTCCACCCCACCCCGGCTTTTGGGGCCTCAGTTTCCCCAAGAGTCCAGTGAACTTGTTAGACTGTCTCTGGAAAGCACATGAAAGTCCTGATTGAAAACCTTCCTGCTGTCTCTGCAAAGCGCTTCTTCCGGACTAAGTTTCATACTTACCAAATTCTAAAAGTAACAGTCAGACATGGCGTTGATTTCCCCCAGCGTTCATCCAAAGGTTTATGTCATTAAAAAATAGGTTGGAGGAGGGATTCTGTGTGGCCCACTCTCGACTACTGAAAATTCCAAGATTAAGCAAGGGGAAAGAAAGGGAAGAGAAAAAGCCCAAACACAGAATTTTCTGCTGTCGTATAAAACTCAAACCCCTTTTGTAAAGAAAGTTTGAAAAAAAAATTACCTAATTTCCAACATCCTAAAATTCTAGCTAGTTAAAACATCTTAATACCTACCAACATTAAACTAAAAAGGTACACGAAACTATTGTCTTTTCCTTGGATTCAGTAACAATTTCCTTCTGATGATGCAATCCTGTTTCACTGCAGACAATTTCAGAACAAACTGTCTTAAAAGAAGAAAAATTATCACTGACCTAAGAATAATATCAAAAGGGAAGGGACTGACATTTAATCCCTTTTAAAATTTAAGGAAAAAAGTTAAAACTTTTGCAGTTTTTGTTGGCCAATGTTTGCTAAATATCCAGAAAGCCTTCGAGACGAAGATAAAGCTAAAGCTAACAAAGTATGTTTGGTTATCTCTAAGGATGAAAACTAATACATAAAATAACCTAGGCATCAGGCTTTATCATCTTCGTTAAAAGAAATACATGTTTCTAAGTTAAATTTAAAAGACAAGAAGACAAGAAGAAGAGGGGATTGTGCCCTTTCTCTGCAAACCGGGCTTTTTCACGATTCATTAAACCTTTTTTCCATAAGTGTAATTGGACTCTTCTCATTTACATAAACGAAGGATGAGGCAAAAAGAGCTAAGATCAGCCCAAAAGGAGAAGTATGTTTGTCATTCTCCTGTGTTAAAAAAATAATATATTGTAGAAATAAACCTCAGGAAGGCAGAGTCACCTTCTTCACCACTGCCCCAGACCTGAAAGACTTCTTGGCCAAGGAGTCAGCGCATTTGCTAGAGCAAATGCGTGCCTTACAGTTATTATCAGAGGCACATGTTTTTATTTTGTTTTCTCTAGTAAAAAGCTTGGACAGAGACGACTAACAGTAGGACACCATAACCTACTCTCCTCATTTCTGACTGGGTTAAAAACCAAGAAGAAAGACTGCACTGTCTTTTTTTCAAGAGCACAAGCCTGTGCTTGGGCTTGAGTTATCTGGCTGGTATCCTCCATTCAGTTGGTTTCAGCACCTGATTAATTAGTTAATTAGTACTTAGAGCTGACTAGCCCCCGGTCTGCAATTTTCATGCCCTGCATGGTGAAATGTTGAATCCAGCACTGAAATTTCTGTCGCACACCGTAATTATTATCACCCCACTACTTTTAAAGCCATTGCACCAAATTATTATTATTATAGACAGAGCCAGACAACTCTGTGGGAATATGTTCTTTCTGGGAATAATGGTAGACTTAATATTTTCCACTGTTGCCCTTAACACATTTAAATAAGACAATTAAATAGGAAAAAACTCTAATTCAATTAGCCTTCAACCTTTCCATTGAAAAAATGATTTTATACAGGAGAGATGTTAGAAGAATCGCAGCAAAAATTTTAATAATTTTTATCAGTTCCCCAGATGGCTTAATGTGTTTACAAGATATATCCTAGATGACATTAGTTTTGTTCTTATACAAGTCTAAAATGTCAGGAATAAAAAATAGACACAAAACAAAAAGATCATTTTTTACTAACTGTAAAGCAATGACACTATCTGTATTGGGGAGGGGCATTTGATGTTTACCAAAACTGGCATGGCTTAGGGATGAGTTTTTGATGGGGAAAAAATATTCCTTGGCTGCTGCACCATTCTTCCATAAACGTGATGTCATGCCTAAGATTAAATATCAACTAGGGAAAATGTTTTAGAAAGTAAGTTAGGACACAAACCTGGAAGAGTCTAATCGTTAATGTTTCTCAATGTACCATTATTGAAAGGTACTGGTGTATCAATGATTTCCAATATTATTGGTAACTATTTTCACCTGGTAACAATCCTTATATATTAGTACAGTGGGTTGCCTGTAATTGTAAGAGCTAAATGGTATACAAAACTGGATACACAACCACACAAACCAATAAATGGGTCGGACTGAAAGCAAAAGTAAACACCAACCTTAGGAAATGAAAGAAGTTAAAAGATAAGTGTTAAGGACCTTATTCTTTTTTGGAGAATAAAACAAGATTTAGTAGCTTTCCACTTAATTTAAATGAAAAGAATCACTACCTTACATATTGCAGTGATAATGTAATGGGGAAAGAAAACAAAAAAGTCTTTGTACAAATGACACCTCCTATAGTTGTTGTGAAGAAACTTTTCCCCTTGGTATCTGCTAACAAATTCTAATTAATGCTGCACATTCCTTTACTGAAATCATTTAATGCGTAACAAGGGGGGGTAAAAAGAAATGCTGAATGCTCGTGATTGCCCTGTTAGAATTATGGGAGTGAAAGCCTGGGGCCCCAAACTTACTGTCTATTAAAGCCAAGCTTTGAAAAAGAAATGCAACCTACAAAAGCTGTCAATCTCCCTTGCCCCTAAAGCCTGGGTTCACATGGATTCAAGTGACAGCCCTCCTCCCCCATGCACAATACATCAATCTGTCTCTCCCACAAGCACCCACAGCCCATTGTGCTGGCCGCAGGTGCCTATTATGGCACCCATGGCTGCCTCCCACAGCTCCGCCCCTGAGAAACAGGAACTGCAGACAATGGAGCCCTGTGGGAAGACAGAGGTGGGTGTTGGGAGGGATAACAGACAGATGGTAAAGGGTATAGGGTAGTAAGGTAGTTTCAAAACAAATGTCAAACATTCAAAATTATTGCATTCGTGAAACCCGGGTTTTGAATTGCCTTTGCTTCAATCACCATCTGCCTTAATTATAAAAACACTTACCTGTTAGGATATTTGCTCCCCTTTTTGGGTAGTGGTTGGAGATGATCTTCAACACTCTGTTGCTTCTGCTACTTAGCCTCTAAGTTTTCCAGGTCACAGACTAAGGAGTTTTAGTTAGTGACACTGTAGACCATCTAGGGAAATGAATGAATAGTTCTAATTTTTTTACAAGGTTTTAATGATTTCCTTTCAAGCTTCGTTTGGGGCTCCGTTAAGGGGTAAGGGTTATAAAACTACCTAAATTCAAGGTAATCAAATACTATGAGACTTCTTACAAATCCCATATCATGCAGACAGAAAATTTTAAGGCCATTTCTTTCTAGTAAGAAGATGTGAAAAGGGAGATGACATGGATTTAACAAGAGTCTCTGACTCAGCCTCTTTTCCTGTTCCAATATGTCAAAAAGTAAACAAAATTGTAAGAAGTGCTAAGTACTATTCACTATCCCATTATCAGAAAAGGAGCATTAAGCATTTCCATTTTGTAAAATGTCTTCTTGTCTATGGTGTTCTTATCTTCTGAGTTCTGAACTAATTAAGAAGCAGTAAGTGGAAGAATTAAAATACATACCAAAACAAAGTATACATTACTTTAAATAATTTCATTTAGTTGCTTTTACTCTTACATGGTCACTTCAATATATCATCTGTTCCTTTTTCAAGAAAATTTCTCATAAATTAAAACCAAATTAACAACAATTCTATTCACTAGTATTACTATCTGTCTCAAGCAAAAAGTGACCAAGAAAAATCTGGCACAACTGTAAGTCATGGTCAAGACAATTGGTGACTTGTTGAGACGGGGAACCCACAGAATAATGCCAGCAACTAAAACCAGCCAGTTTTCCTGAAGCAAACAAGAGGGTCTTGGTTTACTGTCAAAAACCACAAAAGTGGGCTTTAACTAGGCAACTGTCAGAGATCCAAGTGAGTTTCCTGGCCAGGGAGAGCTTAATTAGCAGATTGGTTTGGGTTTTTAAATTACACAAGAAAAACAATCAATACAGTTTGAAAGAATACAGTGGTCTAATGTAGCACAAAATTCACTATTTCATTATGAGTATGTGCAGTTATCTTGCACACTGTGTTAACAATTTAAATTTAGATTTTAAACATCATCTTTGCACCCATTGTTAGAGCA